CCTCTGGCGTCCCAAGCCAGTTCTTAACCATCGTGCCACTCGGCCGGCCCTACTCTATTTTTCTTAATATCATTTTTCTAATGGTATATACCATATGTATTTGTTTTCACTTGTCTTTCTCCACTCTCCAGAATAGAGAATTTCTCTGTTCTATCCACCATCATCACCTTGGCCTAGAAAAACACCTGGCTTATAGCAGGCACTTAAATATTAGAATGAATGAATTAAAGATTTTCCTGTAGTATGTAAACTTGGATGTAGGTCTCTCTGGCTCCAAGCCTATGATCTGCCCTCAAATCATAATACCACTAATTTTGTAGTGGAAAGAAAAAATAAGGTTTGGAGGAGAGGAAAAAATATTGCATGCACCGAAACAACAAACTAGGTATCTCAAGGCTGGATATAGAGTAAATTGTGTTGGTGGAGGCACAGGAAAGATGGAAAGATCAGTTTTAATCCTGTCCTTTCCTCATTTAAAAATACGCAGGGTTCCTCTGCTAATCCATGTATCTCTTGGTCTTCTTTGGTTCTGACCTCAGCCTAAAACCTTTTTCTGCCATTATCCCTGTGTCAACGAGGCTGGGACCCCTGCTCTCATGCCTCCTTTCTGCCTCTGGCTCAGTTCTCCTAGCCAGTACGTTCAGCTGGGACAACGGCATTGTGTAAAGTTTAACATATTTACCCCCAAGCATTTTCATTTGTCCTGGCTTTGGGGTCTCTCCCACACCACCCTCTGACTCACATTTTCCTCTTGTGGTTAATCTGGGATGGCAACAGGAAAATTCTCAAAATATTCCTAATTTCATCTCGTACCTCTGCTCAACAATTAGAACTCTATTTCAGTAGCATGATAAGGTGAAGATTGTTTTACTCGACTTCATATTCTAGTATTTATTATACAGAGATAAATATATCTATATCAATATGTACATGACCAATAAATACATGTGTTCCCCAGTGAGTTAGGGAACCACTGCCCTTGGGCAGTGATAAGTTCAAAGAACAGTACCAGCTTCTAATAATGCCCAGTAATCATTTGTGTGAAGATGTGACATTTTTCTCATTATCCAATATATAATTCACTTTCAACAACAGGGTTTAGTTTTACTGAATTAAAATGATATCTGCCTCATTTTAACCACAAGTCTTTGCTGGGAAATGTGGAGCTAAACCAAAGTTACACTGTAACTCTGTGTCACACAGGGTCTAGAGTGAGGCTACATGCGGCCACCTCGATTAATTTTGAAGACGCCTACCCAGGGTAACAACACAGCAGAACAACACAGTAGAAGCCGCTCAGGTGGTCATTGATTACCTACTACCTGAGGAGATCACGTAGTTTCAAAGGAAGTAATTTTCCTTTAGCCACAATGTGTACTTGAAGTCAGGAGGAATTTCTACATTACAATCAAGTCAGATAATCTTAAAGGAGAGAAGTTTCAGGGCCGGCCAAGTGGCGCATTGGTTAGAAGTTGGCTTGGGATACCAGCTCTGAGCAGCAGGGCCCTGGTTCAGATCCCACATGAGGGCTAGTGATGCTTCGCCCTCTACAGATAAGATGATGAACAACAGCTCGACCTGGAGCTGGGCTGCTGTGAGTCGCTGGCGATGGCGTAGGCTGCAGTGGGACTGGCCGGCAGCTGGCGTGCGCTTTCATGAGCTGCCATGAGCTACCGTGAGCGGCTGTCCAATGACCGGCAAGTGACTGCCTCACCCGGGAAGAGCACAATGATAATACCAACATGGGCCAGTGAAGCGACGTCCTCCACAACTAGACTGAAGAACAAAGGACAGCAACTTGTCTGTTCCCCTTCCCCAATTCCCCAATGCTGTTCCCCTCC